TGGCAGGGGCACAGCCACCTCCCCCCCCCCCCCAGCAAAACAGACAAGACCCCCCCCCCATCACCCTAACCCAAGTCCTAAGTAAAGAGCCATACTTTTAATGTTTTTAAAGGCCAGTAAGGTGAATATCTGGGTTCAGTTAGTATCTCAGCAATGTTTGTGGTGAATGGCTTGACTAGGCAACACTTCCTGACTTATTTATTTGTTTTTTATGCAATAAGAAAAAAGGCCCTCCCTGTTCAGCCTGAGCTAGAGGCATCACATACAGATCTGTGGAAGGCTGAGTGGCTTGTTTCTCCCTTTACACATCTAGTTGACAAAGCAGTAGTGGTAGAAACAAAATTAAAGAAGCAGAACCAATGCTGCAGAAGCAGCTTCAGTTTGTGGCTGCTCCTGTATCCAGGTTGCTTTCTTGGAAGACTAATGGTTGCTTAAACTAGCCATTGGTTTGCTTTAGATTGCATGCTGGACAGTGATAAATTAACCAGAAGCAAACCATGTGTGTAGATTAAGCCAAACAACATCACAGTTTAGGGTATTATACAAACCACATCACTGTTTCCCCAAGACTCACTTCTGAATTCTCTCTTACAATTTCTAACTAGTGGTACCTATCCTGTTCCTTATAGGAAGTTCTCAGTAAAATGGCACAAATAGTAAGGGAGGTTGATGCCTTGGTGAATAACATATTAATAGAAGAATTATTGGATTGGAAGAGACGGCAACAAATTGCTTGCATTGGAGGCCCTCTACACAGTGGGCTTGATCAACTGCAAAACTGGTAAAGTGTTAACACTGGTTTCTGTCTAAAGAGTAACAGGAAGTGTGATGCTGTGTGGCTGCTGCCTTTCCCATCCTCATTTACACAATTAAACTTTCTTCTGAGAGATTAACAGAAATTATTGTTAAGCAATTTCTAAGAATCAGAAGAGTCAGAAACAGGTCATGTTAAGAGGCATTATTTGTTGCCAAGAGGGGATTCCCTTGGGAAATATATCTGACTGGCAGACGTAGACATTTCTGGATTTTTAACAATGCATTTAGGCAAGAATGCCTACTTTTGACATTTTCATTTACTCACTTAAATATTAAGTGTTTTGAATATTTAATATTATATAGTTAAAGCACATATGCACATATAAATCAACAGCTTCCTCTAATGCTATCAGTTGACCTTCATAATCTTATTAGGCCTTCAGAATAAAAGCAAGTCTCTTCTTGAAGGCCCTGATGGGGAAAGACTGCTGTAGAAGAATTTGAGTTAGGACTTAAGCAAATCTGACTTTCTTTCAGAATTGTGCTTGTGATAAAACATAGAATTAAGGCTGTTTTCACTTGAGGCACAGAATTACTGGACATAAATTGCAATGAATATTTTTCTAAGCAGATGTGGGAGAGCAAGTCTAGTTTTATCATGAGGCACAAGAAGAGTTCTAACTCAGTAGCTGATTCTCCATGTTATGAAAGAGCAGCAAATTTGTTTGCTTTTCAGCTCATTTTTTCATACCAGGAAGGAAAAAGGTACTTGTGGTATTCTGTGTGGCAGGCGTCAACAAAGTTGATTTGAACATCAAGTAGCGCTTCATTAGGGGAAGGGGGTGTCATTTAAGTGACAGAATTTTCTGAGATAGTCCCGAGTCAGAGTTTAATGACCTGAACCTTTTTTTTGTGTTTGTTTAGCTTCACACTGTTGGCTGAGAGTCTTTTTCAAATAAGAAGGCAGTTGGAGAAGCTGAATGAACTTTTGATTAAACTCACATACGAAGGAGACCCCATTCCATTACAAAGACCTCACTTGTTGGAAAGAATAAATTTTTTACTTTACAGTCTTTTCCAAAGGTACATAAATTACTTTTCATTTTCAACTGAAACTGAATTGAAAACTATTATTTAGCATTCTTTCATCTCAACCATGGAGATATTTAATTTTCAGAAATTTCTGAAAACTGGGTTGGATAAAGTAGATAACCTTTTCCATGCCATCTTGAAGAAATGGAACTGCTAGTCTTGCAATATTTCACTAGGATTATTTGTGGCCTGCAGATACTTACTCCCTTTCTCATCAGTTCATTTATAGTGGAGAGACAGCCCTCCATGCCAACTCATCCTCAGAGGCCTTTGGTTCTTAAAACGATGATACAGTTTACTGTCAAACTTCGGTGAGTAAAGGGTATTGCTTGTCATTTATTTGATCAGTTTAGTGTCCTAGCATCTCTCTTAAAACTTGTCATGTGCACCAGACCACATTCTTAAACAGGTGCACAAGCCTTCCATTGGCTTTTGGGCTACGGTTTGCTCTTGGAAGGAAAATGTTTATAGATAACGCTTAAGCCTCTAAATGATTTCTTCTATGCAAAGACTCTGGAACTTAAAGTTACCCCTTGAGCCTTTCAGGCAATCTAAATCCATTCCACTCTTGCTTTAACTAATGTTGTGTTTCCCTATTATATTCCATTTCTGACTTTTCTATTTCTTCGCATGCGTTTGCATTTTCACCCTATTGCACCCATTTTTAAGATTAGCAACATTCATGCTGGTATCCCATTTCTGTTCACAGACAGGTGGGATGGGGGAGAGCGGGAGAGAAGCAGTTTTCAGGGTAGCCTCTTAGGCTATAATTATTAGTTACCTCAACAGTGCCTCCTTGTGTGAGCCCTGTTTTAGTACAAGAACTGTTCTGGATTCAGGGAAGCTGGCAGGATCCCTTCTAGCTCCTACAGAGTTTATTTTAAAGAAGCCTACTACCAAGTCTCCAGCCAGCAGTGGGGCTCTACAGAGGCTTTGTCTGTCCCTTTCGGGGTATCCTTTGAGAAAGAAAAAAATCTTTAGCAGAATAACCTGACAACTTGTATTAAAAAACAAGCACCTTATAGACATAGAGACAGTATCCCACAGAGAGCAGAGTAACTTTAAGCAGTAGTAAGCTATTGAACTCTATGGGATCAGTCTCCTGGTGTCCTGTGGAGAGGCTTGCTCCAAGCTAGCAGTCCCTACACCACAGAGTGAATGGTCTTTTTAAAGGTCCAGCACATTTTTAAAGCACAATATGTAAAGCCTATAGCAGGTCTCTGTGCAAAAGCCTCCCATTGATGTTTCCCTGATTCTTTTCTTCATGGCCGCTTAATTCCTCTTCCTCAGTTGGATCTCCTCCTGTCCAACCCATCTGAATCCAGTCTACTTCTTCTTCACTCAGCTCTTCAAGCCTCACTTCTCCCCCAGATGAGTCCACTGAGCAATTTATTCAGGGATGAAACTGCCAGCTTCTCTCTGTCCGTGTTGACCAAATGCCAACCGATACTCCTGAATCCTTTGCAACCTCCAAATGGCCCCTTTCCCCCTTGTGAGCTGCAGGGAGTGACATCCCAGCTGAACAAAGTGCTGCAGGAAGAAAAACCTCGTGCACTCGCTCGCGCTCTCCCTCCCCCCCTCTCTCTCTTAGACTAAGCTTCTCTCTCTCTTTTTTTCTACCCATTGCTCTCCAAGCACTATTTCTGCTCCTCTCCTCTCTCCCCACTGCACTTGTGTGTATCTGTCTGGGTCTTGCATCCACAACTTCATAGCTTTTTGTGCATTTCTGTAACTCCTCTGAGTTTTATTCTTGCCTCTCTACTCCTTGGGAGAGACTCCCTTCCCATCAAGAGATCCCCAATAATTGTTTCCTTACTGACTTCCTGCTGTCAACCAGCGGTCACCAGTTGCTTCCCTTTATCTCTACCTGTTTCACTTAGCGTCTCTGAGGATTCTGTTTCCTCTGTTTTGACTTCTTCCACTTACAGATCTCCGCAACTAGAACCCTAGCATCCAAATTAACTTCCTTACTTTTCTTGACAACCTGCTGGTGCTTTACGCTAACCTCTTTCCTTATTTCTCAACTCTGCTTCCACCAGCTAGATCACATACACTTGGTAGCAAGTCCACCAGCAACATCATGAATCCAGTTGGCTTTATATACACAGACTGCCTAATTTGCTTTCGATGTTAGAAGGTTGCCATGTTGCCTGAACAATGCCAGAGGCATTGTTTGTGGAGAAAGGTGTTTTCTCATATTAAATTCTATACTTTTAACTTTCTAGGCTGCTTATTAAATTGCCTGAGCTGAACTACCAGGTTAAAGTGAAAGCTACTATTGACAAGTACGTAATGTTTAAAAAATTATTTTAGGCCATTATAATATTTACTAAAATTTCCCAGGATATTTTGAAGATGTTTGACACTAATTTAATCCATTTGAGCTAGAATTGCATCAGATCTTTAAATGATCAGAATAACACTTTTCTCTCGTTTAACTTTATATTTAACAAACTATTATTAAAACAAACAATATCGCTCTCCTAATTGTTTCAGGCTTCTAATGCTGCTTTGTGCCTGAAATATTTTCTTCAGAGCCTACTGATAGTCTTTTCTTGTCAGAGGGTGGATGGAAAGATTAATCACCTGTGTGACTTATCATGTATCTACAAATATTTAGTCCCTACGGAGGGACTAAAATGGATTTGTAGGGACTTAAGAAAATAAGAGAAGGGAGTGATAGAAATGCAGTAGGATGGCATTATTTGTTTATCATTACAATCCAACAATTCTCAGTGGTTAACACGACATAGAAAAAGAAGTTTAAAACATCCATGGTAGGAATAAGATCAGCATAAAATCAAAACATGGTAAAGACCATGATAAATAAAAGAACAACTCAACACATGAGTGTAGGTGGCAACTGAATCATCAGCTCTACAGCAGGATTACTCATGAAAGTCTTTCCACTGCTTTGAGCCACTGTTGTTGTTCCACCACAAAACTAGACAGTTTTGATTGAGGTTCTGTTTATGTTGTTTGTTGTGTGAACCTGAAACTCAGGGGTGTCAGTATTCTAGAGTATAAAGTTGAAAAGCAAATGAGTGCCCTTGAAGTTCACCCCAGATAGGTTCTTAGATTTCATACAAGAGGCTGATGATAGGTTTTAGTCAGAGTTACAGTTACTGTAATAAGGATAGTATGGAGTTTTGAAACTGGTGGTTTTAGAAGATGTCAAAATGCAAAGTTTCAGTAAACTTTCACAGCTTAATTTTGATGTTCGATCTGAGGCATAGTTAAACAGTGGTAATGGCATGGGCATTGTTATGCAAGGTACTTAGAGCTGTACTGTAAATACGGCTTTACAGTCTTATTCTGCTTTCAATGTTTTTCAATATCTGAATGAAAACACTGGGAAGGATCATGGTATGATTTGGAGCTGGGTGCTATCAGAATGCTGATGACCCACAAATAACTTGAACTTGGGCAGGAGATGCTCATTATGAGGGGGCACAGTTCCAAGGTTTTATTCTGTGTAGAGTTACATTCTCTCAGAAGGAACAAAACTACTGATTGGGTAGTTTTGACTGAAATTTCTCTCTCTGGTTCCCCTGATGGAGGCACCGACCCAGAGTACCTTTTATCAGTGTACAGTTCATGCATTCCTAGAAATACAGAGTTCTGGTATTATCTTTAAAACGCTAAATAGCTTAGAACTTAGTTACTTGAGAGAATGTCTTCTGAGTCTGCCCCCATCTTCAACAATCGCCCGAAGAGGCCTGTCTTAACACTTGCCGTAGTCTCATCGCTTAGTAACTCAAGACTGTGTTTTTTCTGAAGCCACCCCGACCATTCTCTGCCTGTTCATTGAGACAACTGACATCTCTGTGGGCTTTTTAAAAGGCTTTAAAAACACAGCTTCTTGGACAGGATTTTTTAAAATGTTATTTTAAAAGGCTTTAGAGCCCATTTTTTCAATTGGTGAAGATTCAGGTTTATTTTTAATGTGTTTACTTTAATTTATGTTGAATGTTTTTATTATAAGCCACCAAGAAATTACAGTAGCTGGCATATACCAAGTTTAGAAAATCATCAGAAAGACACATTGTATGTTTGAAGACTTGCAGAAGATTAACTTGTTTTGCTTTTTGTTTTTAAACCCAGGAACACTTCTAGTACAAGGTAAGAAAATTCAAGGGATGGAGCTTTAAAAATAAGCACAGATTGCTTCTTATTGTTGTGCCTGCGGCTCTGTACCTTACCAGGATATGTTTTCTAGCAACCGCAGATTTGTTCTGTGTGGGACTCATATAAAAGCAATGAACATGGATGAGTCTGCAAACGGGACCCTTTCAGTGGAATTTCGACATTTGGTAAATCCATACTTCTTTTCTTTTGGCACAGGAATTGGAAACCCTCGCTTGCTTCTCAGCATTTGTGGATATGGCATTCCTGTTAAATGTGTTCTGAAAGTTTCCTTTGAACTCGGCATAACTTGATTAGAAGCTTTAGGGCGACTGACTCCCTGCCACTGTCCATTAGGTTCGAGCTACACCTGACAACAAAATACACGTCTGCATCTAACTTAGCCTCTAAATCAGGTCTCTAGCGTTAGCTGGGGGATGGGTCTGGGTAACTCATAAGACGGACCTGCACTCTTTCCCTGGGATCAACACCATTGGAGGAATTCTCCCAAAAGCAAATCTGTCTCTCAGAAAGAGAAAAACACGTACCGATTCCTTCAATGATCACCTCCTGCCTTTCGTGCACTTTTATTATTATTATTATTTTTAAAAGTATGTTAAATAGAAATACCAATTTAATTGTCAAGAGTAGGTTGGCCCTTACTAACCAGGAAGGAACAAGTATTTCTGTAAAAAGGCATTTCCATCTAGCACAAGCATTATCTTAAGGCAGCGTTTTTCAACCTTGG